CCCTTCCGACCCTAGAAACTATGAAACTATGAAATATGAGAGATAAAATATGCTACTGTTTTTTTCCCCCGGCATGGCTGTGTGCATCTCTAAGGTTATTGTGCTTTTTCCCAGGATAAGCTGGCCAGGCTCTGTGCTCCTCTCTAGTGCAGGAGCAATAATGCAGTTTGGAAGTGTTACGTGTCTAAATGATTGTGCTGTGCCTGTTTTGATCTGGGTCAAACCCTGGGACAATCAGGTTTGCATCAAATGACATGTCTATTTACATTCCAGCTTTAGGTGCTATACTCTGCCCTATCCTCTATGGGTAGCTTTTAATTGATTTAAAAGGGGGGTCAGGTGGAGCATACATTACAAAGGAGCTGAATAAAAGTAGAAAAAGTGCCCAGAAAATTCGAGTCATTTAAAAAAAAAAATTGGTTCAGTTCAACCATTTGTTGACTGACGTAAAATCTTTTTCTTGTTCAAGGATTACAGTGGAAACATTACTTTCAGCGAATCACTTATGAAACAGTTTGCCACTATAGTGATTTGTGGTTAGTTTAAACCTATGGAATCTGATTTATAGAAACAGTGAAACAATTCACCTTGTTGTTTTTCAGGGGATAATTCCACTGGGGCTCTGTCCTGTAAAGATTATCATCCAGAAGAAGCAGTGCACACTTTGAAGAACAGCAGCAGTGATTCTGGTGATACTGGACACAAAAGTGTAACCAGTGAACAATTGCCCAGAAGTAGCAAACCAAAAAAACAGACTGAAACACTTAAAGCAGTAACTGATGAACAAATTGATGAGCTTGAGATTGCTTTTGAATCTGTGCCTGATTTGACTGAATTGAACAAAAAACAGAGTTCTGGTACCAGATGTAATGAACACTGTATGGACTCTTACAGTAATAAAGAGGCAGCTGAATTGGTATCAGAAAGTGAAACAGCTATGGAAACTGAAAAAGACCCACAGAGTCATAATGCTCAAAATAGACCTGGTTTGGAGTATGATCATTCTGAAATTCCGCAGAGTTCTTTGCCTTCGCTTGATGAAGACACAGTAAGCAGTGAAAATAGAATGTACTCTGTACATGACTGTCATTTATCACCAGATACTTCATTATCTGAAAAACTTAATAGCAAAAGATCTCATAGGAGCCCTGGTCACAGTGTGATGCTGAAAAAAATTAATGCATCAATATCTAATCAGTCAGCAGATTCAGGTAAAAACGAACAGGATGTTTCAAAAGATATACCTATGTTGCCTGTAGTTTTACAACAGAATTCTAATCACCACGCTAGCTGTCAAGAACAGGATAAAAGGTCAGACTGTGGGGAAAGCTCTATGGTGAATTTACTGGATCCAAAGAAAACAGAGTTGCAGCTTGAAGTTGTAGATACTTCTAACAAACCTTATTCAGGTGATCAGCATACACTTAAGTCTTGCACAAAGGATTTAAATCTCCATTCAGAATCATCAAACTCTGAGAAAACACAAGTGGAAATGCAAGAGCCTTCATCTTCTACAAAAGCAGATGCTGATACTGTAACTTTTTCCTCAGGTGATGACGGTTGTGCAGAAATTTCCATAATATCCACTGAAAGTAATCCTGCCATAGTTGAGACATGCCGTTCTCCTCCAGGAACTGCATCTTCTACAGATGAGCCTAGCACTGAGCTCAAAAGGATTGGCGGTGTGTCTTCCAGCAGTCAGCCTATGGATGTAGATCCTGCCAATATAATGTCCTTGAAAATTATCATTAGCGATGACCCATTTATTTCATCAGACAGTGAGCTGAACAGTGCAGTTAATAGCATCACTGGAGAAAATTTGCCAACAATAGTGTTATCTTCTCCAACCAAATCTCCAGCCAAAACTACAGGACCATCCAAGTGTCTGACTTCAGAAGAGATTGAACGTTCTGGAGATTCTGCTTTGGTAGAGCAGAATCTTCTTGTGCTTAGACCTAAAGATCCTGTTATCAGCACTGTGGGCACAAAGAATGAAGACTGTACTGTTCTTACAGTTGCTGGTACAACTAATATTGCCAAGGATGGAGGATTTATACAGTTACTGCCTACAACAAGCACTGCTTTTGGCAGTTCAAACAACCTTTATATAGCCACGTGCGTGACTGATCCAACAGTCTTGGGCACTACAGTAACTCCATCAAATGTAGTTGTATTTCCTGGCAATTCGATGCCCCTTGCTGCTCAAGCTCCAGCAGCACAACAGTTACGGACGCCTCCAAGGTCAAGCAGCACATTTGCAACAAGCCAAACAATGTCTCCCAACTTTTCACAAGGTAATTTGGCTAGAACTATTCTTGAAATGTTTCTGAGGAGTACTTACTACTTTCACGTATTCTTCGTGTCTTAGTAAAAAGCAAATTCATTTTAGATACCATTTTATCTAGCACTTGACACGAACTAGGAATTTAACTTATGAAATGTTTGTTGTTCTTTTCTTTTGCCTCTGGCAGATTATGTGATACTGAAGAGTTAAGGACTCGTCTTTCAGGGGCAAAACATCACAGTTATTAAAGTTGCAAGGTTAGGAAGGGACCTACTGTTTTTAAAAATATCCCCAACTAAAACATATTTCAGAATCTGATTATCTGCTTTTAGAAACACTTTTTCTAGTACCTAAGACAACTGGTTCTGTTCCTTCTCTAAAGGAAAGAAACGTAGAAGAGAACTAGTCACACTGAATGTCAAGTATGAAACAAGTAACAGACTAAAAGGGAAATAATGTATTCAGATAGAAAAATTGGTGTTATATATTCTTCTGTTTATTTTATAAAAACATCTTTATTTTGGTCTAATGCTATGTATGCCAGGGCTTTTATTGGTATAATTATTTCAGTAAAGGCAGTTATACCAGTAAGCTTTTAAAGTAGACCAGGTATTAGAAAGAGAGGGTTATTGAAACAGGGAAGGTATATCAGAAGGGAAGGATAGATTGTTCAATATACCTAGCAAGTTGCCCAAACAAAGACAAGGGTCAACAAAGTGGAGGAAAATACTTATTATGCAATTGTAACTTTAGTTATTATTTTTGTAAAGTGACAGTAACTTATTAAAAGATGTATAACTTAAAGTGTCATGAAATAAAATTAAGTTATTCTCTGAAGATATTTTTACGATGTTGAGCTAAACTATAAAAGACAACAAAAAGTTCAGTTGAGAAAATATGATCTAAATACAAAGTAGATGCTATCATATAAATATACTTTTATTCCAAAAATATAAATCAAACTGTGATCAAAAGTCAGTCTAATAATAAGTTCAGTTTGCAAAATGCCAGTGTAGCTGTATAAAATGCTGCTTTGTGTCAGGCGGTCAGAAGATTTCTAGCCTTGTAATGGGGAACATCAATTTAAATTACCAATTTGAATTGTGATTTAAATAAACCATTCTAATGTTTTGACATTTTACTTTTTTTCTGGCATGTTATTATTAGTTGACAATAATTAAAGTTTGCTGTATTTAATTAAAAAAAAAAACTTCTCCAATTTGCTGGATACAGAAGAAATTAATTTATACATACGCTGCATGTTTAAAGGAAGTTATAATTTGTAATAAGAGAATTGAATGGACCATATAGTCACTTTGCCCTTCAAGAATTTAGAATTGGTGGATTTCATTCACTCCCATTTTTAGATGGGAAGAGAAAAGCGGGCTTTTCTGCTTTTTCAACTCCTGGTTTCACAACCTTGAATAAGTTTCCCATTGAAGTTCAGTAGTTCAGTGCTGCTTAATCTTTTTAAGGTTGCTTAACCTTTTTCTTTGTTCTTGCTGTGTTCACCTATGATTCTGTTATGGATAGTAAAATAAAATAAAAGTAACCCTTCTTATCACTAGAACCACACTTACCTCTCCAGCAACCTAACAGTGCTCCCATTTCTAAGCCCTTAGGCTACACCATGTGTGCCCCGCAGATATGCCCCTTCCTCTTTCATCTCCCTCCCCTGCCTACCCCCTTCCACATCCAGGTGCAGCCTAGGACTTGTCCTCAGCTCCCTGTACTGCTCCAATCCCTGCTGTAGAGCTAATCTGAATGTTTTTTCTTCCCCTTTCCCTTCTGCTCTTTCATTCTTTCCTTGTGGTTCTTCAACCTTCCTTACTGAAGAATTCTCCTGTCCTCTTCACCATTATTCACCATTCTCTGATGCTCTTAAAATATTCAGTGTTCTGTCTCCTCATGATGGAATGAGGGGTGGAGATAAAGCATACA